GTGCCAGACCTCCTTGTACCAGGCTGCAATTTAAATTAGGATATTCTCAAGATCACAAGATGTATTTGTGTATTTTTCTACTCAATAGTTCCTCATACATCACCCTGTACATCTTCAACACACTTTATCAGCACTGACTAGTTAATTCTCACCAATCTGTTGAGTAGATTCTTCCAAGTATTATTCCTTCCATTTTAAAGATGAGGAAAACAGGAAGTAAATGTCACTTGCCCAAAGCCATGCAACATGGGTAAGGGCAAAATAAAGGTTAGAATATAAGGGTGAAATTGTGGCTTTGTTGAAGTCAGTAAAAGTTTTGCCATTGTTTTCAGTGGGTCTGGAACTTTATCCAATGGCTTTTGACTCCTTGACCTGTGTTCATTCTAATGGACTATGCTGCTTCTTTAGTTTGTTATTCATAGATATTCATAAACATTAGGGCTGGAAGAGACCTCATACGATCATTGGGTCCAGCCTCTTGCCCAAAGGGCAGGAAGTTAGCTAGGGTCAAAGGATACCAGCAAGACAAGGATCCAAATGTTTCTTAGAAGTGTCCAGAGTAGGTGCTTGCACCATCTCTGGGGGGGAGTCTATTCCAGCTCTTGGTGGTTTGGACATTAAAGAAGTTTTTCCTTATGTCCAGCCTAAAACAATCTTGTAGGAGTTTGTGACTGTTGGACCTTGTAATCCCTTGGCGTGCCCTGGTGAACAGGCGTTCCCACAAATCCTGATGCACACCCCTTACGTACTTATAGGCTGCCACCAAGTCACCCCTGAGCCTGCGCTTCTACAGGCTGAAGAGCCCCATAGTTCGCAGCTTCTCTTCATAAGGCCTGTTCTCTTGCCCTCTGATCATGTATGTGGCTCTCATCTGGACTCTTTCAGGCTTCTCCACGTCCTTCCTTAATTGTGGAGCCCAGAATTGGATGCAGTAATCCAGCTGCAGCCTCACCAAGGCCGAGTACAGTGGGAGGATGACATCCTGGTCTTGCTTGAGATACATTGGTAGATGCAAGCCAGAGTTTTGTTTGCTTTGCCAGCTTTGGTATCATACTGGTGGCTCATATTCATCTTGTGGTCAATCATGACCCCCAAGTCTCTTTCAAACGTGGTGCTAGCAAGTGTAGCACTGCCAAGCCTATAACTGTGATGCGGGGTTACTCTGCCTCCCCGCCCCCCACCCCAGGTGGAGCACCTTGCATTTCTCTGCAGTGAATGCCATCAGGTTTTCATCTGCCCACCTTGCAAGCCCATATGGGCTCGAATGGACTTCCCTTGTGCTTCTAGGATCACTTCCTTAAGGAGCAACCACTCATCATGAACTCCTCTCCCTGTCAAATCATGGGTTCTCAGGGCCTCAAGAACAAGCCTCCTAAGCTTATGAAAGTTGGCTTTCCTAAAGACAAGGACTACTGCATTGCTGGCTGATTTGCCAGCTTTGTGATGGATAGTGAAAGTGATCAACTCGTGGTCACTGTCACCCAGTTTTCCTGTGATTCTTAGGTCACTGATTAGATCATCCCCTTTGGCCAGTACCAGGTCCAGCAGCACCTTACCCCTTGTTGGCCCATAAACTTCTTGAGACAGGTAGAGCTCATCCACCCATGTGAGGAAGCTTTGAGACCAAATGGATTTGGCTGAGTGCTCTTCCCATGAGATGTCCGGGTAGTTAAAGTCTCCCATGACAACCATGCAACAAGAGTGTGCAGCCTTGGCCAGTTCCCTGGCAAATTCATGGTCAAGCTCTTGCTCCTGCTTTGGAGGTTTGTAGTAGACGCCTACCATTGTATCCCCTTTGCCACGTTCCCCTTGTATTCTAACCCAGAGGGGTCTCCAGTCGTCCTCCTTGGATGTCAGTCTCAGCTTGTAGGGATGTGTGGCTCTCCTTCACATAGAGAGTTACACCCCCGCCCCTTTTTTCAGCATGATCTCTCCTGTACAGCGTATAGCCATTTATACACATAGTCCAGTCATAGGAGGAGTCTCACCAGGTCCCTGTTATCCCTATGAGATTGTAGTCGTTTTTGTTTAGCAGAAGGACCAGTTCCTCCTGTTTATTCCCCAAACTTCTGGCATTAGTGTACAGGCAAACAAGTATGCCATTGGAAGCCCTAGGCTTCCTTGCACTCATGGAGAAGCTCTGTTCTTGGGCTGCGGTAGGAGTGGGTTCCTTTGAGCATCCTAATCTGCTGATTTTGCAATCGATATTATATTGCAATATGTTATATTCTCATACAAACCATAAAATGCAGCCTTTTTGCCATTTTTACATGGTTGCCAATTCTGACAATCCCATGTGTTCTCACATGTGCTTTTAACAGTCTTAAAATCCACAGTAGACACAATCTAGGGAAATCTAGAAACTACAGATTTGCAATATTAATTTCCATATGGGGCAAAGACAGTGGAAACATTAATCAAAGCTAAAATATGTGAGTACCTGGAAAAGTGTGCGTTAATGAATTCTGCGTGCATTCAGAGAAAGGAGATCACATCAAACAAATATCTTTTTGAAGAGGTAAAATTGTGGATGAGAGAAAGGCAGGCAGTAAACATCATTTTCTTGGATCTGAATTTCTGATACAGTGCAGCACGAAAGACAAAGGTTAGGAATAAAAGTTTAAAGCGTGAGTGCTTAACTCCTTCTGCCCTGATTTGTAACTGTGTGTAAATTCTGCTGCTTTCATGGATTTTTAGAACTGAAGTTAAAATAAAGAAAAGATAAAGGATTTCACTTGCACTAAGGTCCCTTCAGACTGCTCTAAAAGTGTCAGCTGGCCCTAGAATAGGTGTAAATTAGCTTTGTGGTGTTCAAACTGGCAAAAATATAATTTAATATGCTTTGAAGCTGTTTTGTACTTCCAGAGCAATGCAGAGAGGTCTTAATATAAATGAGAATTATGTCCCAAGAATAAGGATGCATGCAAATGGAAACAGTACAACGTAAAGGGAGGAGACTACCTGGGAAGAGAAGTAATTTTGAACACCGTATTTTATTTATCTGAGACTTGGAAGGAAAGATAGATGAAGGCTTTAACAGATGATGAAGAACTGCTGGAGGCAGACAAAAGACATACAGTGTTCACAACTCAGTAGCAGTGAAACAGGCAAAGCAAGCTTATTGTATTTCAATGGGAGAAAAATATCAGAACTGAAACTCAGGAAGAAAAAAGAAGTGACTGTAGCTGAAAGACTATGGGGAAGTAGATGGCACAGGGCTTTACAAGAAATAAAACAGAAGGATTAAACATTTTATAAACCTGAGGAAATTTCTTGTGGTCTTTCTGAAGTCTACTGAGGCCATCATTGGGATATTGTGCAAAGGTCTGAGTACCTTACTCTGAAGAGGTACTCTGGAAATAGAAATAATATCAGGAGTACAAGGAAATGATCAATTTAAAAGCTGGAGAATCTAGGTGCACTCTTTGGAAAGGAGAAGCTGAAGATGGAACCTCATGGATTGTTGATTAGTTAATATACACAGAAGCAACCAAGCCCAGCAACAGGTGCAACTCATATAATGTCCTTCTAGCATTCTTGAACAAGAATATAATTTTTGTGTAGAAGAGGAGCAAAATAATTATTAGGAACAAATTTACATTGAAATACATCTCTTAATGCCAAAAGAGTGAGAGGCCTCAATGCAACCTTTATTTACAGTCCTGTCTCAAGCTACAATGTAGATAGTTATGCTGTGAATTTGCACACACTGAAGGAATAAGAGGCAAACTTCACTGCATAAACTGTTTACACTATATGTAGCTCTTTAGAAATATTCAGGTGCATTTAGATGGTTACACTAGAAAAGTCTCTAGTTCTTCAGGGTGTACGCCAACTTTAACTATTGAAGGACAGGAAAATTCCTGTAAGTAGATTATGCTATACTTCCTTGGAAGCTTCTGATATGGTATACCACTGGTGATAAGATACCAACTAAATGCATCAGTGACATGATCCAGCTGAGCAACAATTATGCTCCTAAATTACTGCCAGTTTCATTTATGGTGCATTTTATCTCACAGTTTTTATCACCAAACAAAGCCCTTGTTGATGAAAATGAGAACAGTCAGAATAAAATAAGAAAAAGAATAGGTTGAACCAAACTCATGAAGTCTTTTCTCACTAATACTCACAACAACAAACTGAGATTTAATCACAGATAGGGTTGGAAGATGGTCAATTGGCCAGTCAAATAATGTCACTGCAGTAATCTGTTACAGCAGTAAGCATTGAGCAGTGGGATGCTCCACCTGCCCCAGCATCTCAGCATTCATGAGCTGCCTGGTACCTTGAGGTATGTGGAAAAAACATTTAAAGCTGTGTCTATATGTCCAAATCGCCGAATCTTTCTGAATCAATTCGGAGGGTTCTGATTTGATTTGGAGAAATTAAAGGGTCTCCTGATTCAATTCAGATTCGGAGATTCAGTCACTGAATCAGGCTGAATCTCCGCCGAATCAAATCAGGGACTGAAGCTTCGTACAGCTCTAGTTGCCACCTACGATAACCACGTAACATAGTCATCACTCGCTGGCTGATTTCTTAACTCGCAGATCTAAAAGAAGTACAATCTCATTTAAGTATGATCTTCTTGTAGAAAACAGGATATTAGGCTTTTATTTATTCTCAGGGGGATTTAATACTGTGAGATAAAAAGAAACAGGCAGGGTTTATTTTATTTTCTCCAGTGCCCATGTGATCTGACCTGCTAACCCCTGCCTTAGGGAAATGTTTAATAATGTCCTAGTAAAGGCCACAAAACATGAAAGCATTTTGTTTTTATATTTGCTTGTGAAAGGACTGATGCTCTCTAGAAAGATGATGACAAAATTCCTGAACACTTGAACAAAATGTACTTCCTCTTATTGACTAGAATGCCTGAATGTACTAAGAAACACATGCATTTTAGACAGCATTAATAATTTAACATAAAAACTGAGGAAATTTTATATTTCTGTCAGGAATATATTAGTTTTTCTGTACTTAAAATCAGACCTTACCTCATTAGCTGTGTTGTGAGTTCCAACTATTCTGATGAAGGATGCAGGTTGTCTGTCAAAAGTTATTGTTTGCCAAGATCTACAAAAGGCAGAGGGACATGTGGTATTAGGCAGAGACACTACAGGTAGCAGTGAAAGAATCCATTCAAGTGTTAATACAGGACATCATTTAATAAAGACAGAAGTGGACATTATTTTTTCAAGGTCTGAATTTCCAGCACTCTTGATTCAGTTTAGATTTTTTCAAGTGTTCTGACTTCATGCACAATTCTGTACTACAAATATTACAGAGTAAAGCTCATGCTACTGTTAAAGACTGTTATAAAAATAGTAATAGGAATCATTATGAGCGAGAAGTCTAAGATATCCACGATACTAAATTTATCGCAAACTTCACTAACAGAAATACATGAGGAAAAGCATCTTGTTAATGTCCAAGAAGAAGTCACAGGAAACACCAGATATGGACTAAGGGCCATGTCACACAAGGCACTTACTATGTGTTCAATTCACTTAAAATGACAGCATCTTCATGTTCAAGCAGTAAAACTCATGCAAAGTGGGCTTGTATTGTAACAAACATGACTTTCTTGGCAAGGAGCATCTCCAGATCACATTAAGTGACACATGTTCAGTTACCATTGGCCTGCTCCATGGAGACAATATGAACAATTTGTGGTTCTCCAGCCAGAGCCAACCCTAGGGGTGTGTGGGGCCTGGGACGTATCAGGCTGTGTGGGGGAGTGGCGAGCGGTTGGAGCACAGAACACGTGGCAGCCAGTGGGGTCTGTATGGCACTGTCCGTAGAGCCCCCCAAAGCACAGGGCCCAGGGCAGGTTCCCTGATTCGCTCCCCATAAGGGATGGCTCTGTTTCCAGAACCCCAGGATACATTCTTCCTGGTCCCAACCATTCCTGCTCC